AATGGAGATACTTCCTTTGCCATCAGAATAAGTGCTTGTGTTCCATAGGCAAAGACTATAACAACGATATGTAAGCATGGTATAATCCAGGGTTAGGGAACCTCAGGCCCATGGCACACATGGCCCCAAGCTTGCCTGGATCTGGTCCCTGAGGGTCAGAGGCCCCCCCCCCAGGCACTCCAGACCCACTGCTGTCACACAATGGAGATACTTCCTTTGCCATCAGAATAAGTGCTTGTGTTCCATAGGCAAAGACTATAACAACGATATGTAAGCATGGTATAATCCAGGGTTAGGGAACCTCAGGCCCATGGCACACATGGCCCCAAGCTTGCCTGGATCTGGTCCCTGAGGGTCAGAGGCCCCCCCCCCAGGCACTCCAGACCCACTGCTGTCACACTGCAGGGCTGGAACACAAAATCTACTATTTCACACAAAAGCTACTCACCAAGCTCTGTTGTGTGAGGGGATTGTGTGGCCTCAGTGAGGGGTTGGAGGTTTTTTTAGGGGGAGGCGGAGGGGAGGGGCGGGGGTTTTTTGCTTCTCATTTGTGTGTGACAAATTTTTCAGCAGCCCTCAACCCAAAAAGAATTCCCCCACTCCTGAATCACTGGTGTAAGAAGCCTCACCATTATTTTGATGCTACATGGACATATATGTAAATTTCATATCCCTCATGAGATTTTTTGCATTTCTCAGTGTGATCGTGCAGCAAGTGACAACACTAGGAGCCATTCACGATGCATGCCGTGATAAAATATGTAAATAGTTTCACATTGTCTGCGGATAAGAATATTATTAATGCTTTTCAGCACTGTAATTATATTCATAGTAAGCCTTCCCTAAGCCCTCACTAATTAACAATATTGTGACAAGTCAACTTTAACAGAAAAGAACTGTGGACCTTTAGTCATTTAGTACTGTTTTTCATTCAGCCCATAGCCAAAATCTGATAGCATAGTTTTGTACATTGGCGTCAGGAAAGCTGCTGATAGTTGAAAAGTTCATAGCCCACTCAGTCTTGTTAGTTGAACCCTATAGGTGAAATCAGTTATAACCCTCTTTAAATATATTCAGCCAACAGGAAGACTCATTGGTTAATTATTAATGCATGGGAATTTTAAGATTGTTTTTACAAAAAAACTGTCATACTGAAATAATTTAATAAAGTCAATATGTTGTCACAGTGATAGTCAGAGGTGGTCTTTTTTCAAATTATAAAATATTTTGTAAAATTTTCATTCACCTTACTGTCCAAATTAAAATGGTTTTATAAATAATCTTATTAGATGACCTTGAATTATAATTGCTCTAATTCACACACAAAAATGAAGTTGCTATCTAAATGTCAGTTTCTATATGCTTTTGTTTTCTTTGTTTAATATAACGTCATATGAAAGCTGTGTGTGTGTGTGCGCGTGTGCATGCGTGCTATTCCCCATGTACCAGAATAAACAATTTATTGTGAGGCAGAGAAAATAGTTGCAACAAACGAATGGCAGTTTCTCTGGTACTACACTTGACAGAGTTTCAGCATTACAGGAAGTTCATCTGGCTTTTACAATTGCACCAGTTAACATAAGGTCTGTGCAAAGTATTATTTTTCTACCACTGTTCTGGTCAATAAAATTGCATTAGGAAATTAAAAAAAAACAAAGTGTTTCTCTTGTTTTAGCTTGATTGTAAGTCAGCTGCTGGCTTCAGTGATCTAAACATTTCATTCTTCAGTTTTGTTGGGAGCACACGTGTTCTGTGAGGCTTTTAAACAAATACTTGGAATGGTTGAAAGATTTGCATTGCCAGTGCCTAGCTAAATATGTAGTCTTTAGAAAAGATGTGGTTTATTTTGGCACTGTTTAAAAAACTGAAATATTTTAAACATTTGTTAAGTTCAAGCTTGCACATTTGAACTAGCAGTATACATTCCAAAGTTGCATCTCAAGTTACCTGTCTTTGTTTTTTTGCATTTGTAATCCCTTTATTAAAATAGTCTTTGTAAAGTTTTTTATAAAAGTGTAACATTAAAAATTTGTCAAATTAATGAGAGTCAAAATTAATGGCAATGGCAGACATGCAATTTCAAAAATGTCATTTGGAATCTGAAGCTTCATGTCAATGGCCCAGATTTCTGTCTCATAGAATGAATAAATTATATGAGGCACCTGATCCTACAGACACGTCCTCTTGGGAGTAATGCTTAACAGCGGCAAAGTAAGAATTACTTATAGTAATAGGTCTTTGCAGGATCAGGTCACAAGGAGACAGCTTAACTGCATAGTCAAAATGATAAAGTAGAATAACTTCCAGGAAAAAACCCCAACATTTCTGTTTCCCACAAATAAAGGGGAGTGGTTTTGCCTTATAATTTAGGGTATGTCTAGACTACATGGCTCCGTAGTAATCGCCACTTCATTTACATCAAAATGGCCACCACGCTGTGCCGATCAGCTGTTTGGCGGCACAGCGCGGTAGTCTGGACGCTCCGCGGTCGACAAGTTATGCCTCGTGGAATGAGGTTTACCGGGGTGGTCGACAAGGGCTTCCCTTGTCAACCATGGAGTATCCAGAGTACTGCGCTGTGCCACCAAACAGCTGATCGGCACAGCATGGTGGCCATTTTGATGTATATGAAGCTTCATTTCCCTATGTCTAGAAAGTTCATCTACATGGCTCCGTCGACGGAGCCATGTAGTCTAGACATAACCTTGAAGGGGGGGGGGGGAATTATTTTTGATGTTTGGACATGAAATTCATAGCGAAACTCGAGAGAGGTAAAACTTAATTTTTGCTCTTAAATATTAAGCAGAAAGGCTCATCTGTTTGGCTGGTTGGTTAGCTTGCGTGTTTTCCCCCTTTTGTGTTGTTTAAACCCTACCAGGACCCCAGTTCAAAAAAGCATTGAAGTTAAGCATGTGCTTCAATGCTCCTCTGAATCAGAACTCAAATGCAGATGGTCAGATTGAGTTATGGGGAAACAGGAACAGCTCCCATTATCTTCAAGTAGAGTTTAGCATGCTTACTCCAGGGTTAAATTTGAGACAGAGACGCTAACTGCATTACATTCAGAAAAAATCATATGCGCTCAGCTTCGTTTTGTACATAATACAGGTGATTTCATTGGTACGGGATAAAATAGCAATATAGAACTGACCACAGCCAAGTTGCAAGACGTTGTGCTAAGAAGAGAAT